CCTGCGAAACGCATCAAGGTGGAGAAGGAAGACAAGGTGTCCGACGAGGTAGTCAACTCCTTGAGTGGCCCGTTCCTTGTCGGACTCAGCCCACATATGAGCATTCTTACCATGAACACCAAGTTAGTTATGAGTATCTCATGCGTGTATTTTCCATAGAACATGAACCATCCTGTTGTTCAGGTGCAAAGTGCAACTCAACAACATGGCTGAGCTGATCACAAATCAAGACGGCGATTGCCTCTACATGGTGTCCAAAGGCAAAAACCTGTTTCTGGCACATCGGGAATTGTTTCATGGCTCCAACTGACGTCAAGAATCAGCTTGGAGTGCTGTTCCTTTGAAGTTCTTTTGTCAATCAGCTTTGGACCCCCCAGAAGTCATAGGTTCTCATTTGGCTCTGGAGATTGGCGAGATGGGCAGGACACTTGGCCCATTGTGCAAAGCATGATTGGGCATCCGAATCATGAATCTGTTTGACCGATACCCGCTGTCCTGGGCCAATGACTTTTCTCCAGCACCCACTTGGCCTGACTAAGGAAGCGGATGATTGCATGCAGGACAGTGCAGGAAGGTGGTTCCGATTTGCAGCTGACCAGAACATGGTTGTTGTCATGGAGAAGACAAGGGACTTAGCTCAACACCTCCACGAGTTGAACTGCATTGAAAGCCCAACAGTGCTCTCCAATGTGCTCCAAGAATTTCAAGACTCTGGAGAAGTCAGAGACCTAAAAGTTCCTAAACGTATTGAAGCATATTGCCCCACCAAGCCACCAAGCAACCCATGCCAATGTTCCCATAATATTATCCCACTTTCCCGCTGGCGAGGTGAAGCTTGCGCTGTCCCACCATCACATCAGCGACGCTGGAGAGATCACCCCCGAGAAGCCATTAATCTTTGTCTTGGACCCGCCAGATGACGGAGAAAAGAAAAAAAAGAAAAAGAAAAAAGAAAAGGGACCAACCTTAGTCAGTTTTGGGGCCAAGCTTAGCGTAAGCAAGCTGAAGGGGGCAGGCAAACTTATGATTGGTTGGCGAATGAGGCAGGGGCATATGTTTTTGTTCCCATGTGCACCTTCACACAACATCAAAAGAACCAACCTTGTTTCACCAGAATCTGTAATCTAGTTTCCTGGCAGGGTGGACAACTCAACCGCTGGAGTGAAGAAGCTAGTTCCCATTCGACCGATTTCGTGCCTCACTGGCCTGGTCGATATTGACCAAGTCAACTTCCGGCTGATGTAGAGCACCTGAACCGTTTGATGAGAGCTGTAGTGGCACAATGTGGCACACACTTGTCTGGGGAAAAACACCAAAATACGGGTCTGATTATATTAGGTTTGTACAAAACATGTTGTCCACACAATAATACTTTCTCTACTGTGCAGTTTCCAAATATGTTGCAATTTGTTTCTGAACCAGAGTGGGGTAGTGTGTGCCTGTGCCCAAGTGGTAGAATTTTGGATTCTCAGCCCTGCTCCAAACTGCAATACCACTGAGTAATGACTCCAGTTACCTTTTATCAACCAAATTTGATGTTTTCAGGGTTAAGTTAAGCTTCCCACGTGCTTTCTGTGGCTATGCTCGCACTTCTTGCGGTGAAAACCGTGAAAACCCGATGTTGCAAGAACATCTAGACAAGTAAGCTCATGAATGTTTGGTGTTTGGAAGGGCCAAGGGAACACTGTAGTTTCATTGCCCCTTTCTGTTGCATAATGTAGATTATCAAGGTTCAAGCTGTTGAAGGTAGTTTGATTTGAGAGTCGAAGCAAATGTCCCAGTTGCGTAGGAAGGACACCTGTGCTCAGAGTGATGGGGCGGATTCAGATCTGGAAGTGGTGATCCCTTCGCCAACAGCAGTGTTCCGCCCACCAGACCCATGGCTCAACCAGATTTCACTGTGAACTTTGTGTGCACCCAAACAATCAAGTGGCTTCTTGACAAACAAACAAGTGCACCCTGAAAGTAGTCTTGTGCAAGGCCTTTAATCTCAACACTCTGGTGCCGCAGTCTTCGTCTCGCGCTGCCCCCGTGCAGCTTCGACCAAAGTCAGCGCCTCCAACACAGCCAACAACGCTCGACCGTCCTGGCCAAACAAATCCCGGAGGCAATTTAGAACTGCATGCTTCAAGTTTGAGTTTAAAACGTGTTTCTCAAACCTACTACATGTTTGATATTGGACAGGTGCTGCGTCGGGATCCAAGCGGCTATCCGATGAGACACTGCCAGGGAGGTTCTCTTCAGAATCATCACCCGATGGTCCCAAAACTGAGGAAAGAGTTACAACTGGTAAGCCAGCGGCAAAAACAAAGAAGCCAAAGAACCAGAAAAAAACCGAACAGGAAGATGATGAGTCGCCCCCCCTCCCCAGAGCACAAACCCTTGGGTCATGGAAAGAAAGATGATGACAGTGATGATGAGCCAGGTTCAGGTTCAGACCCTGAAAATCTGGCTGATAGTTTGGGGATGAGAAAAGGTGGCAGGACCATGAAGCGACCGTCTCGCAATGATGGTGGAGCCAAGAAGAAACCTGCCAAAAAGGGGCGGCAGGCGTGGTTTTCATTTTGTGTTCTCCATCTTGGTCTTAGCTTCCAACCCTCCTTCAAAGTTGCAACCAGCCCTGCAGGCACCTTTTGAGTATATGATTGAAGGAATGCCTTGCCCTTAGTGCAATTAGATGGTCTGCAAAATGCAAAGCAAACTGAGCTGTTTGCAAGTTATTGTTTGGTGATGTTTTTGACCTGACCTGGTGCAAAACAAACATTTGCCTGACCTTTTACGGAGAATGATCTCACCAGTGGCGAACTGCCTGTAAAGAATCCAGGCTTTCTAGAGCTTCCAGAATGTGGAAACATGGGTCTTCCAGTTCAAAACCAGTCGGACGACAAGATGGTCAGTGAATTGAAATGAGTTGATCTCTTCACAATGCAAAACATACTCTTCCCATCCTAGGACACAGCAGGGCTCTGCTCGACCTTCCACAGATGAGGCCCATAGAAACCTTCTTAATGGTCAGAAAAAGTAAGGGCCACACGTCCCAACTTTTAGCTGGCCCAGGAGATGGTTTTGACATCCTTCGAGGTTCCTGACCCCACTCATGAGAGCCTTGGTCCAAACCTTGTTTCTATTGCCTGCCTGCCCGCCCCTTCACCCTCGTATCCGTCATTCAGCCTCCATCCAGGCTAGGTGATGCTCCTGCAACGGAGCCTGCAAGCGGTGACGGTGAGCTGCCCAAAGAGTGGCCGCAGTGGAGCCCAAGCTTGGTGAGAATTCACAATAGGCATTAGACTTGTTTGTGCTATTTTGTGCTCAAGCTTAGAGAGAATGTGCATTGGGTATTGGACTTGTTGGTATTCAAAAGCTTAGGAGTGACTTATACGGCGGCGATATTCCGGGGCAAGATTTCTATTGCCTCAATGTCATTCCTGGAGATGATACTTATCCCCCTTGCAATGCGACAGAGACTGAGAGCTGCCCCTCCGTGACCAAGATGATTGATGTTGCTTCTCCATCCCCAGTGGAATACCACCCGGACAACCAACTGGGGTTGGACCAAACTCCTTCCTACAAGGTGCCATGACTTCATCTTAGCACTAGACAATATAGACAATTACAGTATGTGCTAGCAACAAGTATATAGGCCAAAATCAGCCTACTGTGTTTTATATGTTTCTTGGAGGTATTTCATCGTGGTGAGCGATTCAATGCGGATGATTTGTCTGGCCTCAGTGAAAAGGACCAGCAGTGGTCAGCGTCCATCATGTTGACCTGAGCGTATGGCACACCATAGAACTACGCAACTTCAACGAGATGTCGTTTTCCTGTTCCCGGGACCAGGGTTGGTTCATGTTTTACATTGGGTTTGGCTTACATGGTTTGCCCAACTCAACTAACCAAATGAGTACAATTTGACATGCATACCGACCGTTGTGTAATTTGACATCAGGACTTATTCGGGGACAGTGTGGAAGCACTTGTGGATACATCGCTTCCAGATGATGGCAGTACAGCACTGCTCAATGAGCCTGTCACACCTGCTGATGACATGGACAGTCAGCCTGTTGAAGTAGTTGACAAGCGCAGCATTGAAGAGCAAACATTGCCCAGTCCTGACTCACCCCCAGATCCTTTGCCTGAAAGTAAAGAACCAATGTCCCCAGTCCCAGCCGCCTTGGCACGACCCCAACCCACTCCGGCCCGCGCAGCCCCGAAAGGAAAGGCGAAGGCGAAGGTAAAGGCAACAGCATCAGGCAGGTCCAGTGCCAAACCAAAGGCATCAGCCAAACGCACAGCAGCCAAACGTGCAGCACAGCCAAAGAACGCCCCCAAGCCCGACGCACATGCAAGAAAGCCCAAAGATGAGGTTGAGAAGAAACTTCATTCCGTTTCTATGGCTTGCCTAGAAACACTATACTTGCAACATCTTGCAACTATGTGTCTATGGATTATACAATGCACGTCAAATAATTATGATGCTATTTTCTCCATGTGCAGAATCTCAGGTTTATTCGACTGCCTGGTCTTCGGCAAAGCGAGCAGGTCTTTCGGATGGAGCGGCCAAGGAGGCTGCAAATTCAGAGAGGAAGAAGCACCCCAACTGCGACTCATTCAGTGTCAGCTTGAATCATGGTGTGTGTGTGCACCCACGGTTGCAGTGTGTTTTAAAGCTAAGGTGGATTCTGAATTGTGGGCCCAGGGATCACTGGAAAATCCAGGCCTTCATTGCTAGCTTTGGCGGACCTGATGAATCTTAGATTCATCATGACTCATCTATTTTGTACCAGCTGAATCTGAGCTCGGGACAGACAAGAACGAAGGCTTTGAATGGGAGTCGAGCCAAGAAAAATTGCTGCTGTGCCGTGCTCCGTGACAGAGTGACCCAGGCTCATGACAAAGGCTCACTTGTCAATTGGAAAAGGGTCGATATCAACTAGACTTCACTACATGTTTTCTGTTAAGGAATGGACCCTGAAGTCCCATCCCCGTCTCGGTCAAGGCACGCGTTGGTCAAGACGCGTTCCACCGGTACTTCTTGCGACCCCGTGAGCCGCGTGTCGGCGTAGGTGACTGGATGGCAGCCCGCCACATCGAAGAGTAGGTCACGAACCTCAGCGAGATCACGGCTCTGTTTGGTATTTTTTGGGTCCCCTGGGCCCGTTTGAGGGTGCTCAATTCCACACCGTTTGAATTTCGGGTGCCTACTCAACAGTAACATCTACGCGGATCGGTAACGTGGATGCATATTGGATGCATAATATTATACACACCCACGAAGCGACACGAAGCGCAAGTTCTTGAACAAATACAGGGTTGAGAGATGTTCCAAACCACTCAGTTTCTGGCATAAATGTCCAAATCATAATGGGAACAGTTTCCATATGCCCAATTCTGACATGAATACGCACCACTCTGCATTCTTAATCTGAATTCTGAACTGGACACCTCCACACCCGTTTTTCCAAACGCCTTGGCTAGGAAGCTGCACCTCTGCACACAAAATGGCCCAAATCTACACCTCAGTATGTTACCCTCCTGAAAAAGAACAAAATCTTTATCTTTTACACCTCGACACCCGCTTGTGGAGAAATCGTCAATGAATTCAAACCACTCCTTGCTTGTCATTGACACAAGCATCAGGAATGGCCGCTGGTTGTTGAGGAACACATACTTCCAGGTCTTCCATTGTCCATGTTTAGATTTTTGACACGTGAGCGCTCAGGTGTCGTCCCTGAGACGAAGGTCCCGCCTCTCCCAGCTGCTCCTTGAGCAGTTGCAGCACTGCGCGGTATTCAGCGCTGTGGCCACCGTCCTCTGCTTTGGGGTGGTGACTAGGCTGGAATGATATATTGGAACACACGGATGTATGCATCTGCGTGGTGCCCTAGAAGAATGCACAGTAATCTTGTGGATCGATAATTGCAACACACATCATGTCAATCATGTGTTCGACATGTTTGTTTCTTGGTTGCAACCTAGTGGGAATGAGTGGAAGGGGAAACATCCATCCACATTAGGATATGGTACTGCTCCGGAAAAATAACAAACCTGCAAATACCCGCGCTGATCTCTGTCAAATCTGTATAAAACTGTTCGTTGTATACGATCCTTTGATATCCTGTGCATGATTTGTCTTGCTTTCATGTCCAGGCAATCACTCTGCGTCGTGCTGCATAGGAGCCCCTAGCCGCAAGCACCCAGTGTTTATGCAGATGCATCATGATCCATCTAATTACTCTCACACCCGAACCCCTCAAGCAGTACTGGTGAAAGTGCTCATGCGAAGAGCGGAGGTTTGAGGGTCCAAGTTCGTACACCCCACACCCCCACACTGTGGGTCTGAACCGAGGTGAGTGGATTCCCGAACACAGCGGTGGCAGAACCCCTCAGATCCGTCAGTCGGGTGGCCATGAGACCTCGCCGGCCATTGAAGTTTAAGGTGCCACACAGCAAGAGTGGCCAGCGTCGCACAAAAGCACCGTTGTCTGAAATGTGGTCATTGGTTTGCTCCTTGAGGAAGTGCACCAAACCTGGGCCAGAACAGTAATATAGTATGGTGTAGCTGGTAAACTGATGAAAAGGCATCTATAATTCATATCCAACTGTGGTGCACACATAAAAATAGTACCTATAGTACGGTGCGTCTTCTGCTTAGCAAGGACCTATTTTATCATAGTATTGGTAAAACCCCTTGTAAAAGGTGAGGATAAGAAACAACAACTCGTAATTCGTAATGTACAATCTTGCAAACCCGGACTTTGCCACATCGCACAAAAGAGTTTGCACTGCACTTCTTCTTCATACGGGTCTGTATTTAAATAAATTGGGTCACCTCCCAAGACCTTCTGGAAGAAGGGAAATACACTCTAGTCTACCCATGGGGGTGTCTCCAGGGAGAGCAGTCCGTCGCCAAACGGGTTTTCCAAACGTGCATCTTGCTTCTTTATGATCAGAATTTGCTACCTATAGCACATGCATTCATTGTATGTCATGGTCATAATTATAATCAACTTTCAGAAATTGCTATTTTATAGTAATATGTTAATATCTTGATTTGTTCAGCATAACATAGCACTGAACTCGCAGCCGCGCGCTGCGAACGCTCGGTCCGTCAGGGTGACTTTGAAGCTGCTTGTGGCGTGTGGCTTGCGCAAAGGGTGCTGAGTCCTGAGGAAAGAATGGCTGTGCTGCCGCGGTTTTCCAACATTGGGATGGCGTCATCTGGAAAAGCCAAACCCACTAGAGTCAGGATGCAAAACCAGCAAACACCCCTGGTCAAAAAGTGTTTGGAGGGCGAGCTGGAACATGTTAGAATAACACACCATCAACTCAACTGAATTATATACCAGCTACTTGTTCTTCCATTTTTTGGAAGGCTACACCTCCAAACGAAGATAGACCTTGAGTTGGTAGGACCCCCAGCTCTTTGACGCCTCGAACTGGACACGACGTCCACATGGACGGACTGGAACCGGATATACCCTGAAGGTCTCGTAGCCGATTTCGCACGGGAGTCCTTGGGGCCCCAGGGCTTTAGAGCCTCACGCCTTTACACTTGTGGGGCTGAAGCAAACTGCAGCTGTAGATCCAAGACAGGTTGAAAGGTGGGGGCATGAAGATTGAAGCCTTCAAAGGCCTTTCCCTAGCTCAAGCGAAAATATGGACCTGAACCTACAAAGTCCCGTCGCCGTAACCTTTTCGGCACGTTCGGCCAAGTCCAGCATGAAACCACGTGTCAAGTCCCGTCGCGATTGACCCGTTCACCACATGTCTTATCTGCACTGCACCCTGAATCATCCGGATGCCCTGCGCCTCGGAGTAAGTACTCTGCAAGTGTGTGGTGCACACGTGGAGGAATGGCCCTGTTGGCCCACATTGCACCTGCTGTGTGGCACAAACCAGGTGCAAACATGAAGTGACTCAAAACGGATCTCAAAACGGAAACTGTTCCCTGGAAAATTAACCAAACTGTCCACCTTCTTGTTTTGTTGGAAAACCACCCCCCTAAAATGGTTCAAGGCTGGTCAAGAACCTGCCGGGCTGTTGGTTTCTACATGTCTGAGCGAATTTGGGAACGACAACTGAGGGCCACCCGATGCTTGCATCCCACATGCCCACATACATTATAATATATATATATATATCAATATGTATATCTTAAACATTCTTAAACAATATATATACGATATACGTTTCGATGCCTGCCGGCCCAAAGAATATGGGTCGATCGGTGCTCCATCGACTCTCAGACCCAAACACCACCGATTGGTCTGGCCAAGCGAGTCCACAGACTCCAATCATCGTGAAGCTTGGACACCTGCTGCTACAAATCAGCTGATACATGCTGGTCCTGAGACCTATCATCTGCAATGGAACTGCTGAATAGATCTTAACACTTCAAATGGACCCGTGCTCTCCCCAGTCCAGTGCCAACCACTCCACCCCCGGTCCGTTGGGGACTTCGCTGGTCGGATTTGGGCATCCGGCCTTGGCGTAGAGCGCACCTTTGGCGCTGAAACGATCTAAATGCATGCCCGGATCGAAGGTCAGCTGTGACTTGTAGACCTCACCAGGTGGCGCTTTTTTTTTGAGTGGAAAAATAGACAAAGAACATCCTTTTGACCGGCGCCATGCATCCTACATCGCTGTGACCTCTCATCGGGTATCCCAACAACCTCCTTCAAAGCTCTCAAAGCTGCAGCCGCAGCGTTCAATGTGATTCCCAAATTGAAGGGGGAATAATAGTTATGTTAACTGTATTAGATTGTCTTGAGTCAAGCATAGACATCGTCAAACCATGTCAAACCTCCAGGGTGTTGTTCAGCAATGTTCCAGGAGACTCGGAGGGCCCGTCAGTTCAGCTGGGCAACAATCGGCAGCCGAGAAAGAATCAGAAGGCCGCCATCCACGATGAAACGGGGTCGAACATTGGTGGATGATCGATGAGAGTCCTGGACATGCCATGGCGTCCAAGCGACCGGAGTCCAACACACAGCTGGCTGGATGGAGGATAGAGCCCTGGCCACTGAAGGGGTTTCCAGCTGTTGAATCGTCCATGTTTCTAGAGCCTAGAGGGTGCCATATACGGTACCCTGGCCACTCTTTTTCTGGGAGTTCCAAAGCGGACCAAATGCCTGTGAAGTTAACCTGAAAACATCTTCCAAAGCCATGCCGCATGCCCCTCCATCCCCTTGTGGGAGATGGTCACCACTTCTTTCAGCACCACCGGCACCACCGTGTCCCCAGCGACGCCCCAAACCACCTCCGCGGTCCTTGAGACCAAAGCGCTGGGCCACGTGGATCAACCACTCACGCCTCCTGAGTCGAACCACGGCCCACGAGTCGGCACCGGCTGCCCTTGGATTTAGAGTGGTGACTTTGCGTGTTTGTTTTGTTTGGTTTGTTTTGTTTGGGGTCGGATCTTTCCTAGATTCGGTTGCTGTGCAAGATTTGTACCGCTGCAAGGATGCTTGACACAATCCTTTGGGCAATCACGAAGCTGATCTGCAACAGGCTTGACAAAGGATGGATATGTTTCAGGTTGTTTTTTTTAAACGTTTTTTTCCCCTACTGTTGTTGCTTTTGCTTCTGTTGGGAGTGCTTTACAAGCACTAGGAGCAGCAGAAAGGGCAGGGGACGAAGCACCAAAGCCAGCGTGACAGTGACAAAAGGAGGGAACAGAAAAGGGATTCCACTTACAGTACTAGTAGACTAGGGACTTCTTTGCGGTTGTCTTTAGCTTCACTGGTTTCGGGTTTCTTTGGGCTCGGTTTCTTGTCTTTGGGGTTTCTAGGCGTTCTTCCGGAAAAACCATCCCACTTAACGAAGGAGAAGTAGGAGTGAGGAAAGAGGAGAGAGGAACTATAATAGGGACTTCTCTGCGGTTGTCTTTGGGTTTCAGTGGTTTCGGGTTTCTTTGGGGCTAAGCAAAGTAGGAATCCACCTTTGTGGCAGCGTCAACGCAAAGAAAAAAGTAGTTGTGGTAACTGTGGTAAGACTCGTAGTGGGGTGGTCCGAGTGATAGAGGTATTGGAAATACTAGGGGTGGTGGACGGTAGTGGGAACTATTAAAAAAAAGCGGGAGGGGGTGCGGGGGAGGGCGCACAGCAGAAGCAAAAGCAAAAAGCAAAAGCAAAAGCAGAAGGAAAAGCAATAAGCAAAAGCAAAAAGCAAAAGCAAATGCAGAAGCAAAAGCAAAAGGCAAAAGCAGAAGCAAAAGCAAAAAGCAAAAGCAGAAGCAAAAAGCAGAAGCACAAAGCAAAAGCAAAAGCAACAAGCAAAAACAGTAGGGAAAAAAACACGAAAAACTAATCCGGAAAGCACCTGAAACAAATCCCAGAAAAATAGGGGTTCCCTTTACAAAACGCACGTATTTATGCGTTCTTGTGCCGTGCCGTCTGGGATGTGCCTTTAAGCGTGGATTTAAGCAAGCAAGCAAGCAAGCAAACAAGCAAGCAAGCAAGCCAGCCAGCCACCCAGCAAGCAAAAAAGCAAACATTAATAAAGCAAACAACAAAAACAGCAATAACGCAAGCAAAAAACGCGTGCAACAAAGGAAGCAAAACAACAAGCAAAAAGTGAAGCAACACAACAAGCAGAAAGGCAAACAAACAACAAGCCAAAAGGGCAAGCAAAAAGGGACATCAAAAAGGGCAAGCAAAAGGCAAGGCAAGGAAAGCAACGTAAGCTCGACAAGTTTTCAATAGGTTTCTGCCACCCCGTTCTGGGATACTTTGCTTCGTGGCCCAAGGTCCACTCCCGACGATCGGTTGCTCTTAGATGATCAGTTCGATGCCCAAAGCTGCCTCAAGGGGGGCCCACTGACATCTATGGGACATGAACGCATCAGAACTGAGCATTTAATTCTTAGCATTGCCTGACAAGCAGTCGAAGCACATTGAGCTTTGCTCGTGCAGGCACATTCCCCCAAATCAAGTCATGACTAGTCATGCAGGTACATCGCTCATGGACCTCCCAAAACCTCCAGCATGTGCCGGCCAAGTTTCTGTGAAAAGGCCCCAAAGACTTCCTGCAAACAAATCAGGTCGTACCGCGCCAGGTGCTCCACAAAGCGGCACAAACGCTCATCCTCGCTGCACATCGCTGCACGAGCTGGTGCTAAGCAACAAGGCTGCTCTCGGTCTTCGCCGGTCTTCGCTCGTGTCAGACAAACATTTCAAGCAACACCTGGATCATCGGCAAGAGTGAAGGGAGTCAGTGGTCACCCACACAGCTTCTATTCCAAAATATTCCAAAGAACAGTTTTGGTGAACCAAGAACGGTCACTCCCTCGCTCCCTCTCCCTCGCTCCCCTCCCTTGCTGACGATCCCCTCCGGCTTCCTTTCGGTCATCTTCATTGTTGTGAGTGAACTGTGGAGCAGGTGCCCTGAGTCGCGAGTTCTGAACGCCGGTTCGTCCGGTCGAACCGGAGGGAGGTGTGTTCCGAAGAATCCGCTCGTTCGTGGAGCTGGACGGGATCGCCGGGGTTTGAAAAGCTTCTGGAGTTTGATGTTAGACTCTGTTAGACTCGACTTGCACAAACATGTTCAGAACAACATCCGAGAGAGGTTGAGAGACCTGAACTAGGATCCTTTTTGTTGGTACATATGGGATGGGCGAAACAGGGCTGTTCAACCTCTCTTGGATGATCCCAAGTTCGATCCCACAACATGCAAATCATTCAGAGTGGCTCCCACGACATGCGCCAGGCCTCAAAAACAGATTGTATGATAGGAGCCGCATCACCTGAGTGGCTAATGGAACAGGAAATGGTCAAGCATGGATCGGATCTATGAGAGGAGGCATTGAAACAGCAGAGCATGAAACAGATCCAGTTATCAAATACGAGGATGTGCAAATACTTGCAGCATGTACATCTTCCTTTGTGTTCGAGTCACCTTGAAATTCCCAGTATCTTAGCCTCGATTTGGAAAAGGGTCCCGTCCCAGAAAAGCGTCCTCAGAACCTCCGGTCGTTAAATCGGTCCCAGAGCCACCGGCGGGAAGACCTCAGCGGAAATGCTTTCCGCCAGGCTCGGCCCAGAGGGTGGGCCAAAAGCAGCTGGATGAGGCAGCATCTCCTGGCACGAAACAGAGCTGAGACCGCACCAAACCAGGGGAGCCACGTAGGTCGGAAAGAGGCGGGCAGGCACTACAAGGAATTTATATATATATATATATAATTATAGATAATTATAGCCGTTCTATGTTGCATGGAAGGGTTGGAACCCATGCTTTGAGTCTAGGCACGGCTACTACTATACTTCGGGAAATAAATGGAAATACCATGAAATACCATCATGATTTACCAGACCTGCGTTATTTGGCAATCAACAATCCAAAAGGAAATGGTTCTGGTTCTGGTGTTTCATGAAGGCCATTTCCAGCTGCAGCTTTGTGTCAGACACCTCACAGCCTTCGAAAAAAGGGTGGCGTCTTTTCGCCTAAGGAGGCGTCAGGCAAGGTAGAAGATCCCCCTTCTTTCCAGCACCGTGGTCCGGTCCAACTACATTCAGGCCGGAGCTGGATTGGTAGCAAATCACGGCTGGCCGTTTTGTGTTCAGGACCGGTCTGCGTTCGTCTACAGAGTTGCATACCTGGACCCGTTTCGATCTCGGTCGCCAGAAAACATGCCGGAGAAACATGCAGAATGTTCGCGATAGAAAACGTGACACCAACATGACGCAAAAGTGACCAAAACAAAGCAGAAGGAACATACATTGACACCAAACTTGTGTTGCTTTGCTTTTTTGAGCTTCGCCTTACATTGTCCACGTCTTTTTGTGGTGTCTAGGCTTCATTCTGACACGCACTTTGTCGCAGTGTTGATGTGACCAAGTTGCTGGCACGTTCATTCACACAAATGCAGTGACTTTGCCTGCTTCCGCCTGCGCTTCAGAACATTGCTCGTGGTCTCTTTATGTCTCTTTTGTTTCTCTCATCGCATGGGTTCCCAAACCCTAACAAACAATCTTTGATGATGTGTGATCATGATAATGTAAACTATATATCCAAGAGTTTCAAAGGGGTGCGATCCGAGGAAGTCGGGGTGCCCAACTTCACATCCACTGGATGGGGTGTGTTGGGCACCACCCCGTCTGATCCCTGGATCACTTGTTGAGCCACTTGTTCCGTGGTCTCTCGGCCCCCGAGCTCCTCTGCGAACTTGGTTGGCACCACATGACTCAGGTCGATGCCATTGGACTTAGCCGGTTGCTTCGGGTAATTAGCCAGGAACTGCACCAGGAAAGCAACATTAAAGCAATTAAATCGCTAACACATGATATGTTTTAGGTGTTTCTTGTCTAGACTAGACTTGGTGTTTCACATTGTTTTGTTGATGTTGCACCCCAACACCAGTAGCGCCGCAATGGCCTTGCACATCCTTGCACACAACCCCTGCAGAATGGCACTCTTGTCTAGTAATTGCACGTCACGTTAGAAGGATTTGTGCATGGGACATTTTCAGACCGTCGCACGCCTGGATGTAAACCAGCCAGCTACCTGCCGTACCTTCGCACTCTCTCTCATCTCTCCCTTTCCGACTGCTATCCTTTCCACCCCCTGCCCTAATCTTGGCCCTGAAACTGGTCGCCGACCAAGACGATCCACGAAAACAGGTTTCGCCACATCCCAACATGTTTCGGGCTCTTTCATCGCAGAATTTTGTCCGCATCAGTGATCCTCCTTGAACAAAACTGACATGACAAAGGCATACAAAGGCAACAACCTCATCGTCATCCTGTGTGTACCACCCCGCAATACACCAACAGTCACAAACACGTTGATTTCACAATTTGTTTCTTGGCAAAAGCACCTGCATTGACCTCCACGGTCTCCGGACCTTTCTGTGAAAACGCTTCAGTCTGGGCGAGAGTGGCTGTCAAGAACTTCCAGGCCATCTGTTGACAGCTCCGTGCGCTCGCCAGCGCCTCCCGGCAGGAGTCCACCTCCAAAGGCTGCTGCCGAGCACTCGAATCCTGGCTCGGCAGGGGGAAGTCGTGCCAGGCGGCGTTTAGAAGTACTGAGTACATGGATGACACGTGCATGGACTATATGGGAAAAGCTACTTAGGGCGAAGCATGGTCCGCAGCATGGTTGCAATTTTGTCTTATACCAGTTTCAGTAACTTCCAGTTGAAAGTGGGGAACTGTCGCATTCAGGTTACTACGGGCAAGTCTTGAAACATCTTGAAGCAGTGTCGCATAGGGCATGTGCAAGTGGCACCTGTCTTCGTTCAATATGCATGACGGTCATTGATGGTCTATGTTAGTTTCGGTGGGGTATACGCCGTGGGCATATCCCATGTTCTGGGGATCAGGCAGCAAGGCTTTGATTATAGATCAAAGTTCTGGGGATCCGCTGATGTCGCCCACCTGGAACACCTCCACACCGCTGGTTTGGAGAAAGTCTGTCTAACATGGTCTAACTGGTTTCTATTGGGTCTGCATGTTTGTATCACGGGGGGAGCCCTTCCAAAGATGGGAAACGGCACCCCTAGCATCCCCTAGCTGCACAAAGCTGCAAGCTCGATCCATCTGATGGCCCAGCCGGAGCTTGAGTGGGAAGGCTGCCCAGCCGAATTCGGCGGTTCCTGGATCTGCAGCTTGCACTCCAGAAGCTGTGGCAGAACCGTCTCCAGTTGCTCTCTCAAGGAGTCCTCGGTCCCAAGTCGGCCGTTGGGGAGGGCGGGTGTCGTTCGTTGGCAGGTCCGATGCCCCAAACAGTGGTTGATGATCCAACAGTTAGAGGTCATGCCTAGCCATGCCTTCAGTGGCTGTTGGCCTTAAACATACTGTGTATTTAAAATGCTACGTGTGTGCAAAGGGAAATTGATAAACTTAAAAGGGGAAGTGACATTTGTCACCGGGTCGTGCTTGGTGAAAAGCCAATACATATAGTATATACCTGGACCTTCCGCTGGTGAAAAATTTTAGTCGTTTGTTGAAATTGATGTTTTTTTAGTCGTTTCCCTAAAATTTGGTCGTTTCCCCTGAAAAACGTTTTTTCACCAGCGGCTCATCATGTACATGCATTATTGCCACATGGGTGATTCATGCAAATGGTGTCTCCATCATCCCTTTTCCATGTTCAACCCCGGCCATCGCGAATCAAACGTTGCATGAAGCGTTGGTGGAGAAACTTGCTCTTGATAAGGTAAAGATCCATCACACGCTGTGATGTCAGCTTCGCACTCACTCTCCTTGAGAGCCTGCACACCTTTCCAATCATGTCCTCGTTGCCCGAGCATTCCCAAAGAATTGGCGAAGTAATTCGGTCATGCTGAGCAGCTAACTGAGTAGCCACATCCACAGCTGTGTGTTTCAGCATGTGAGCCTTTGGCTTGATGCCATAACCAGCCATTCGCAGATCACTCAAGCAAATGCGCGCACACTCATGGTATGCTTCCAAGAATTTTTCCATGGACTTTAGAAATGCACCTGCGCAGCATCGTGTCCAAAAAACACCATGGGAATAGTACTGCTGCTGGCATGTGTTAGCATGCTGGGCTGCCACATTCATAGCACGAAGTAGAGCCACATCATTCTGGTCGAGCGGATTCTGCAGTAGCCCTCCTGTGAAGACATGAAGCCACTTCACCAGCAAGGCAGTGTCGCTACCTTTTGAGTTGCTCCAGGGAAACTTGCTCGCCGTTTTGGCATTTAGGAACTCCTTCGTAAAGCTTCTCAGAGCAGCTGTTTGAGATGTAGTTCGGCAATAGAAATGAAATTGCGCATGCGCGCGCTTCAGCAACACTGGCATGTTGTTTTTCTGTCCAGTTCCATCTTCGTGAAAATATCTCATTCGGCACAAAATGACAATGCAAGATCCACTGAAGTCCCGGAGTAAGCCCAAACGAAGATTATGAAACATGTCCCTTCTTAGGATCTTCTCTGGGCATGCTGGGTCGAAGGGTATTGAGAGAAAAGGTGGGTCTTCCGACCATGGCCTCTCTGTGAACTCGGTGCCGCACCAGGCGGGGATGGCGGAGATGATGTCTTCGAACGGGCGTTGTTGAGTTCCAGCCCGACATTCGTGGCACATCTCTACATTAATGGCGGTGACCCGGTTGAAGCACCTCTCCAAGTAGGAGATGCGTTGAAACCATTTCAGGTCTCCTTTCCATCCAGTCACTGCGACTCGATAGACACCATGCTGTGAGTTGACTCCCTGGAAGAACAGGTCACTCAAATCCTCAGCTATTTTCTCGATCAATCCATCCAACAACTCTTCAAGTTTGTAAACCTTGTGTGGCAAACAGCACAAGAGAAACTTGGTCAGAAAGCTGTGCTGTTTGAGGTTCGATTCCAAAAAATCACAATTGCAAAGCTCTCTATTGTAGTGGTCTCCCGGCTGTAAGCGAAACCTCTTTGCACATGGTTCCTCAAGAGTGCACCCGCATCCATTGCCTGGTCGTTTTCTTCCAGCTGCATGAGCATAGGTGTTCAAGCCAATGTTGGGCTCCAGAGTTATCACACAGGTGTTCCCTTTTTTGAGGCCTCGCCCCTCATCACCGTGCAAGCACATTGGCACAATCCAAGCCCAGTCATCTGGATTGGGATAGTAATGATAAATTCTGTGCGAAGGATGGAACAATCGATATTTCTCCCAGAACGATTTCAGGAAGGACCGGCCAATCTCAAAATCAGGTGAACCCCCAAGCACCAAGTCCGGAGTCTTCTGAACCAAGTGCTGAAAAAAATCTTTGGGTGATATATATGGCACCCGTTCCACATGTTTGCCACCAATTTCATCTTCAACTGTGTGCTCAAACATCAGTGATTGGGATGGGGGGGGGGTTGGCTCAACCAGATCTCCGGCCCTTTCTGAACCCAGATCTTCCAAAGAACTGGAAACTTCCACTGAAGATTCTTTGGGTTCCCCTGCCACTTGTGAGGGAATCATGTATGGATCCAAAACTTCAGCATCTGTGGGCTCTAAAGGATTGGAACCATCATCCTCACCCTCCTGGCGATCAGCCGCCACTGTAGGTGCAACCGTGGATTCATCAGCAGCTGGCGTGGAACCATCAGTGGGGGCACCAGCGGGCGAAGAGGGGGGCGCACCACCTGCAGCTGTGGATCCATCAGCTTCAGTTGGACCATCAGTGGGGGCACCATCAGCGGCGGCACCATCCGTCCAAAAAATCTCCAAGATCTGAAAGAAGCGCTCCAAAGCAGGTTCCTTACATCCCCAAATCCAAGTATCACTAGAGGTAGAGAGTGAGGTTTCCAGTACTACTACAATACCATCAGTTTAGGCTATTCGATAAACTGTTTATAAACTATCAGTTTGCCAGGATTTGCCCAGGGTCTCGTGTAGCAGCCCTGCTCGAGAAGCGCCGCACACCATGCGAAAACAGCTTCTTGAGTCCAGACGCGTCTAAATGCATCATGCAAGCGTCTTCGGGCCTTCCAAGGATTTTTCGAAGCATGGTAACCTTGCAGGGGCTTGGCGGTGGTCAGGACGACAGCGGATCCCCTTTCCATAAGATCTGTTAGTTCAACTAATTGGTATGCAACCCTTTCTGCACCACCTGTGCATGTGATTTACAATCCTGGCCCCTCCTGTATCCAACAAAAGTTTTTCAGTACCCAACAAAACTTCAGAACTCTTTGATGCAAACTTGGATGCCTCCCGTCTCATGAAGTCAATGGGAATTGTCTTGGCATACGGTGTTTTTTGGCACCAATGCTCAGCAAGGATCTCCAGCGCACGTGCATTCAATCTCATTGCTTTCACTGATTGGATGCCCACTGTCTTCTCGTCTGGCCAGTTCGTGCACCGGTCATGAAGACGGAAGCTCTCACGTATGGAGCGATCGGCCTCTAAGGCGATCGCCACTACACCTTCATCAGGCCACAGGCCGGGGTTGACCTCCTGGTCAACGGACTCGAGGGTGTCGGTCGACATGATCACTGATCCACTTTCAGTGAACGCGAGTTTGGGATGGTTAGAGCCAATAGCTAACAACAAAAAACAAACAAGTACTTGATTGTTGCAGTGACTACCCACGAGATTGGGCATGCATGAAATGAAAGTTCACAGAATGTACTGCATACTTCTTTCTTGCATAGATTGTTTTTTAATTAAGCACGTGCCTTCTCAACAGTTCATGACACTTCTACATGGCATGCAGGGGTGCAGCGCACCTTCGATTGGAAAGCCTTCATGTCTTCATGAAGAGAGTACCTGCGATGATGCAGGTGGCCAGTTCACTGTCCACCCTGTGCAGGTGCACGAACCTGCAATGACGCTTGATCTGTTCCTGAAAAAATCCGGGCGCACATGGCCGCGAGCATTTCTTGAGCGCATGGCTCTTGCGGGCGGGTGTTGGCACGATTTGGAGTTGGTACATCTTGATACCCTTTGAGACCAAGAGTGGGATACCAAAAGCTTGTTAACATCTCTTACCTCAAGTTCGTTAGAGCATACTAAAACAGAAGGGATCCTTTGAGAACCTGATTGTGCTTGATAATCTATGAAATCTGGGTTGATGGGAGCTAGAAGGACAGGTCGAAGCGAGCACACTCAGACAAGACCTCAAGAATCAAAAAACGCCGTCAGGCAAAAGCTTCTGCAATGTCAACGAAAAAATGTTTTTTCCAGAAACTACTAAAATAATAGTCGTTAGGAAGTCCTAGGTATATATATATATATTCAACTGCATGAATTATAGCATAATATAGAATATAAAAACTGTACTATCCTTTACTACCCGCGCACTCGGACGTCCACGGGAAACGCGGATTGAGTGTGTTACTCCACCGCAAATGAAGCAACTAAAAGGACCCCCCTAGACAAGTCAAGTATATATATATATATATACAGTATACATCAGCGGATATCAGCGGTAAATCTATGCCGGTCCCGTAGAGCCTTTGGGCCTGCACTGGAAAATGCTGTTAGGGCATGCTGCAAATGCACCAAATCGCTGCAGTACTAAGGGCGGGTGAAAGTTCATCTCA